GTAAAAGCCGCCCCAATGCGCAAGACCCAGTTCAATTCTAGCAGCAACAGCATCTACTTGACGTTCATCAAGTCTTATTAGGTCTCCGAGCAGCTTGTAGCACATGACTGTATGCAGAAGTCATTATTAGCTATAGTCAATGTTCTAATGAAAAGCATACATACGTTCGTTCGGTATTGCTAAATTTTGCCCTTTTGATTTCAATGCTCGGGTTACCAAGCACGGCTTGATCTCGAACTTCGGAGCCTATATGCTCCCCTTCTCTATCACAATCAGTCCATATAAAGAGAGCCCTGGAGTTCCTGGCTTGTCTTTTGATATTTTGAGCTATGCCAAGTTTTTCCTATTAAGAATAGGGGTTAGTATAGTGTCAATCACTCAAACAAGGTGGGTATCTGGGCCGTTCAGACTTTATCAACAGCAATGATAACGCTCGCAGCAAAGAGTTGGGATGGATTGCACGAATTCCAGTTCCTATATCTTGGTTCAAAGTCCGAGGCTGTTAAATGCCCTAGAACGCTTGTCATAACAACGGAGCAGCTACCCCACGGGGGACCGAATGTAAAATCAAATTCGTAATTTTTAACATATTGACTGCCTTCAATTCCAGACTTGTAGGAAACAATATTAGTTTACTCTCTGATTCTAGAGGGGAAGACATTCATACTGTTCTGATGCGCCCGCCAGACAGATGCTGAGCCACTAACTTAGCGATTGCAGGTTTCTCTGCAACGCATAAAATTTTAGAGACCATACACGCGTCCTAATACCGGTGCCGTTCATCTGCTCATTATGCACTAGATTTCAAGTCTTCAACCCTAGCTATCGCCTTGAAAGCCGCGCGTTTGAAGACGAAATGACGCTTGACGTCGAAGGCGCGCTAAACAAGGTTCAATTGATTGGTGTTCGTCGTGCACGGTCCACAACCCTAAATCTCCCTTTTTTTCATCACGACGATCGCTTTAACTACGTGTTAACAACGAAAGAAGGAAATACAAGAGAAACCCTGAGACTGCACAGGTTTGTGTCAAATATCTGCCATGGCATTACCGACTCTGAAATCTGCGGCCGATTGCGCCAATTTCTCGCAGGCTGTCCTTCCTTTCCTTCACCAGCTGTACTCTCTGCCTACGAGAGTGGCGGAGGCGGGCCTTAACATCGATGGACTGCGAGAAGTTTACCTATCAACCAACCCACTTATTACAGCATTCGCATTCTGTCTGTTTCTTGTCCCGACATTTGTACTAGTCTCTGAAATCAACCGAAATTACTCTCAAGTTGACCGAATGTGGAGTATCCTACCGTCTGTTTACACTGGACATTTTGCACTTTGGTGCCGACTGAAAGGCGTAGCGACGACTGAAACCAACACGATCTTTTTCTTTATATTGATCTGGAGTGTAAGTGCAATAGATTTATCATCCTACTTGCAGTCACTCTTTTGATCTACAACTAACACTGGGCTTTCCGTCGGTAGGCTCGCCTTACTTTCAATTACTGGAGAAAAGGAGGCTATTCCATCGGCTCGGAAGACTATCGATGGGCTACACTTCGAAAACAAGTGAACAGTCCTGCGTTATTTTTCCTATTCAACGTCCTCTTCATTAGCCTCGCCCAATCGATTCTCCTATTCCTCATTACTGTGCCTACTTATATCTTTGTCCTTATCGGCACTCTCCGCGATGCGCCCAGTTTTGGAGTTCCCGATCTTATTTTTTCCCGGTTTCTTCTGTTCCTTGTGTTAATCGAACACTTTGCCGATCAGCAACAATGGAAATTCCAGCAAGCCAAGAAACAATACCAGAAAACCGCTCGCATGCCGGCAGAGTATAAGGATATTTTTACAAGTGATGACTTAGACCGCGGTTTTGTGGTGTCTGGCCTTTGGGCCTGGTGCAGGCACCCCAATTTTGTTGCCGAGCAAGCATTTTGGGTGACGCTGTACACGTGGTCTGCTTACCGAGTGGAATCGTACTTCAATTGGAGCGGCGTGGGTGCTTTGTGCCTTGTCCTACTATTCCAGGCAAGCACCAATCTAACTGAAAGTATCACCGCGAGCAAATATCCCGACTACAAGCAATATCAAGCTCGGGTTGGAAAGTTTATCCCTCGCTTTGGCGTCGAGCCTTGAGATGCAGAATCCGAGAATGAGTCGAAGTGTTCCATATCTATAGGTTGTGTGTACGAGTTCTTTCGGAAT